CCAGATACATCCCAGGATACTGGGATGAGGACGGATACCACTCATCACTGTTCTCCATCTGGACATTGAGCCATTGACCACTACCCTCTGGATGTGACCATGCAACCAATTCCTCATCCACCCAACAGTCCACCCATCAAATCCATCTCTCTCCAATGTAGAGAAAAGGATGTTGTGGGACACGGTATCAAAGGTCTTACAGAAGTCCAGACAGATGACATTGGTAGCTCTTCCCTTGTCCACTGATGTGGTCACTCCATCCTAGAAGGCCACTAGGTTGGTCAGGCAGGACTTGCCCTTGGTGAAGCCATGTTGGCTGTCTCAAACCACCTCCCTGTCCTCCATGTGCTTTAGCATAGCTTCTAGGAGGATCTGTTCCATGATCTTCCCAAGCACAGAGGTGAGCCTGACAGGTCAGTAGTTCCCATGGACCTCCTTTTGACCCTTTTTAAAAATGGGTGCAATGTTTCTGTTTTTGCAGTCTCCAGGGACTTACCCTGACTGCCATGGCTTTTCAAATCTCATGGAGAGTGGCTTGGCAACTACATCAGCCAATTCCTTCAGGACTCTGTGATGCATTTCATCAGGTCCCATAGGTTTGTGCATGTATAGAGACATATATACATACACATACACAGAGCTTATTTCTGGCCAAATCTTTTAAATTTTTGTGCAAAAAAAATTCTGCTGCAGCCTGAGATAGACACAAAGCTTTTCAGCTATGGAAGTAACACACTTGACTATGGTGTCTCCTAGCAGAAGCTGTTCCTATATCATTGAATTGGATTTAAAATTGAGAGAAGATTCTTTTTCTGAACCTGTTGCAAATGCAATCTAAGATTATCCTAATCTCCACTATCTATCATTTAGGACTTTGACTTTGCAAATCTTTGTGCATGAGATTTGAATGACAGGAAACTCATGTTAAGCCAACCCTGCCGGTGAAATTTTAACCTGCCCACCATCTGATCAGCTGTAGAGGAAAGAATCCCTTATACCGGCAGTACTCCAGACCTTAATTGTTGATAGTAAGATAGTAGAGAAGCAAAGTATTAGTAGTACAAAAAGAATATAAAAATGCAAATAATTTACTTACTGTCTTCAGGTTTTCCCTCACTGGAAAAAATTCCTTTTGCCTTTCAAAAGAAAAAGATGATGGACAAACTCCTCATTATGAATGCAATACCAAAACGAAATCATTCAGCAGTAAATCTACTTTCACAACATTGCTCATTCGTGAGAGTTTTGGGCATGCTGGGTGACTTACCTTTCGCATTTTGAGCACAGAAGCATAGTATTTTGACCACCAGTCAATAACATTTTCAGCTGATTCATCTGCAATTGTTCTTTTTCTCCTCTTTGTTGACCGTCGGGTAGATTTTTTCATATCCTACCAAAGCATGAGGGAAACACCATTGAACTCTAGAACTGATTAAAACTAATCACCTGACTCGTGACATCAAGCTTGAACAAATGTATATGAAGAAAATTTCAACTTCCAACAGGTAATAAAATGCAATATGAATTAGTATCTCTGGTTTTCATTCCAAGACACTTCATCATGATCATCATATTATTAAAGTTACCTCTATATTACCTACTGATGATGCCAAAACTTTGAACATTTGAGACATTGCCACAAGAGCAAACCAGGCAACAGGCTACATAGAGAAATAGGTAATGATATTTTAAGGGATCTAAACATTCAGGTACAAATCAGTTTCTCCCACTTAAGTCTGCATTATAACTCCCATTATTACTTTATTGCCTTTTGGAAGGAGAAAGAATCACAATAGTTGCTGCAATTCATTTGTTCTCTTCCTACAAAAAAGCTAAAATCAGATCCTAAAGACCACCTGCTCATGTGGCAAATCTTACTAACTTTGTTCTTGCCTGAAGATTGGCCCTTGTTAAAAAGAGTATTTCATCCTACACCCTTACAGAGAGTGGCCAGCTTGGCTGGGTAAGACAGAGCAAAGATAGATAACTGGGAATGATAGGTAGGTAAGTAGGAATGATAATTCATATGACACAGATGGTTAAAGTACGGGGTTCCCTCTAGGACTCTTTTCTTACTATGCTTAGCTGTTGTACATTAAAATTGATCTGTACCAGATGAAAGGTCCATAGTTGTGAGTACATCTAGGGAACAAGACATCCCTGCAGTTTCTTTGACGTCCTAATTATGAAGGATGTTGGAAACATCTGACCACTGAAACACCAAAGTTTAAAGAAACATACTTTATGTAGCTACAGAAATAGCTTCTGAAATGAAACTCAGTCCTGCATGTGTGCTTTTATTGTTGTTAATAAAAGAGTGGTTGTGGTGGGAGAAACTACAGAGGAAGGAGGAGGATGTGCATCTGAATAAAAAACAACGTGCACAATCTAGAGCATATACTGTACTGTAAACACCATGCTGACCAGAATTGCCTTGTTATCCTGTACTTTCTTATCTGCTTCACCCACAGACTGACATCAGTTTTATACTTTGACCCTAAGATCTTTTGGAAACACTTTCTGCTCCACGTTTGTCCAGCATCTAACACAAGGGGGCTTTCATCCCTGCCTAAACACCATGGACACAGTCATTCACAGTGAGTGTTGCAATTAAATAGATCATACAAGGCTAGAAAAACCAAAAACCATACTACTCCAGTAGTGCTTGCCCATGGGATGAACATCCAGCACAAAAGGGAAGAAAAAGAAGCATCTATTAATGGAAGTAACAAAATTACATGGGGTCCAAGAAGCATTCTTAATTAATTCTCTCAAGGGCCAGCAAGATAGTGTGTTAAGTAAGAGATGACCATTTTATAAGGAAAGGCTAAGTCTACAAGACTGCAACGGGAAGTCAGCTAGCAGCTTCAGCTATACCCACCTTCTGTTTTCTCTTTTTCCCTGCTTCAGAGGCAGCGTGCTCTGGGTCAGTGTCAGGAAGATTTGTGAGATATGGATCTGGCTCTACCACTGTACATTTACCCTGTTCCACCTCAGCATAGATGTGATCTGCTAAAAATGGTTCTTCTTGGGATAAACCAGCAGGCTGGGATGACTTAGATGGAGCTGTAATGGAAACATGGAAAGTTAGATAAGATTTTGTCAGAAATGCTATCATCACATTTGGTGATCATCAAATGATCATGTCATTAAGGGTTTGACCCTACATTCAACACAATAAAGAATATCTTCCAAGTACATGCCTAGTGTTAAGCCTCTAAGTAGGTCCTTTGTCTTTTCATTTGGGGTCAGGACTGGACATTTACCTTTATCAATTTCTATAATGTCTAGTCTGTTTGGTGTAGCTTGAGGATCCAACTGGGTCTTACATAGGAATTGCTTAAGGCAATTGATGGTGTGTGTTCCAACAAGAGTACTCCTCCCAAATGCTCTCCAGTCAACCACGCAGATGCTTAGTGGTGGATGCAAGAGTTCATTTTCAGGCAGCTCCTAGTGGAGGACAGACGGCAGTATGAGAATTACTAAATACAGAACACGTATAGAATATTTGTCATGCACAGCAATAAGACTGTTACTCTTCCCACCTTTCTTCTCCCCATACTCAAAATGCAAAATGCATACAGCATAGGCAATATAGTTCTGTCCACAGTTTTCTGCAAAGTCTGGACAAAGCCTTGTCCTTGTACTGTGCTACTGAGTTGAGTCCATGCTGTCATATACAAGCACCTTTTGTTAGAATAAACTGAGAATTAGGAACATTCAGAAGGACTGAATGCTGTGTTGGCAGTTCTGAGTCTTAATGTCACTGCTGCTTTGTTGAAGGACATTAACCCTATCTGCCTCAGTTTGCACAACCATGAGGTGTGGACACTGGGTGGTTACATGTTTTATAGGATGAATTATGAAAGGGAAAAGAGATCTTTGGACATGTGAGGTACAATGGAAGCTAAAAATACTATCACAATCGTACTTTAGTATCTGGGTTAGTATTTTGATATCCTTTTGCCTTATAAACTACTTCTCTCTTGACACTAGCAACTAGAGCAAATCGAACAGATTACTTTTTTTCTGATGCTGACCTTTGTCCACTCAAAGTCCACAAGTACCAGCTCTCATAACTCAGCCAACAGGTGATAATTAAATTTACAGTCCATAACAGCAAGTGTTACAACATGAAAAGGTCCAGAGCTCATGAGCAAGAAATGATCAATCCCCTTAATAGCCCAGTAACACACGAAGGAAAATTAAAAGAATTTAAAGAAAATAAAGGAAACTGAGTAGTACCCTGCAAAATCGGAAAGGAGAAGGAAAAAGTACTAAAAATATCCCTATTATCTGCCAACAAGTTCCAACCTATCAGTAAAAATCTGTTTGCAACATATTTCCTTGCCTACTTGGGCTATAACATAAGGAACATCATCTTTCATTATACATTTGTAGCAGTAGTCTTTTAAAACATCTTCAAATCAGTATTTTTACATAAGAACTGATGGGTTTTTTGCATAAAAACTGATGTATTTAATCAAGACAAAGGAAAAATTATTTGCCAGGAAAGGAAGGAAATTAGTAATTAACACCTTGCCTAACTGGAGGACAAACAGGCAAGGAGCAGCATGCTGTACGCACCACTTCAAACCAGTCTGCAAGGCCACTGAAATTGGGATTTTTCTTGTAGCTCTGGATGACAGAGGACTTCACTCCTTTCCCCGCACATTCGATGAGAACTTGGGGGCGATCTACAGAGAGGAGCTGGACTTTCTTCAGCTCTCGAACACCCCAGAACAGGACCTGTGGTGGGCAGAGAGAAATGCTAGTAGCCTGCAGAGCCCCCTCAGTCTGGGGGAAGCCACTGCTGGGATCTCATCACCTCGTATCCCTTTGGGAATGCGAAACTACCAGAGAAAAACAAACAAATCTGATATCCAATCACCTTCATAATTATGGTGGAAGTTGAAGCAATTAATAACATCCAACTGTTATCAAGGACATATTGCCACAGCAAGCCATAAGAATCACATTTGTAGAAGTTGTCTTTTCAGCAGGGCAAGGGGACTATTCATCTGAAGAGCAGGGGCTCAGTTTCTTTAAAGTGTCAGAGCTGTTGAAGGAGCAAGCAAATGCCCTACAAGCAGAAGTGATTAACAGGTTTGCAAGCTGACCTAGCCCTCAGATCTGCAACAGATGGCGGGAGGTTTCCAAGCAGCTTCCTTCAAAGGATTGTGCTCCTGGTCTGGAGGACAAGGAGGAGACTGGGTCTGTAAAACAGGGGTCTGCAGGAACAATGGGACTTTATACAGCACACAATGGGGTGCTCTGAAGAAGAGGGCTGGGGCATCAAGAGATGGTTATGTCACAGTTGGTGAGAGAAGCCGTGACTCTCATGAACATGAAATGAAGACCGGAACCAAAAGGGAGCATGGGGGGCTTTGTGGACAACTTGAACACTGGCAGGACTGAGGATTTCACAGAATCACAAAATCATTAAGGTTGGAAAAGACCTGTAAGATTATCAAGTCCAACCATCAACCCAACACCACTAAATGCCCACTAAACCATGTCCCAAAGTGCCACGTCCACACATTTTTTGAACACTTCCAGAGATGGCGACTCCACCACCTCCCTGGGCAGCCTGTTCCAATGCTTGACCACTCTCGCACTAAAGAAATTTTTCCTAATATCCAATCTAAACCTCCCCTGGCACAACTTGAGGCCATTCCCTCTTGTCCTATCACTAGTTACTTGGGAGAAGAGACCAACACCCACCTCACCACAACCCCCTTTCAGGTAGTTGTAGAGAGCGATAAGGTCTCCCCTCAGCCTCCTCTTCTCCAGACTGAACACCCCCAGTTCCCTCAGCCGCTCCTCATAAGACTTGTGCTCCAGACCCCTCACCAGGTTCGTTGCCCTTCTCTGGACACGCTCCAGCACCTCAATGTCCTTCTTGTAGTGAGGGGCCCAAAACTGAACACAGGATTCAAGGTGCGGCCTCACCAGTGCCGAGTACAGGGGCACAATCACTTCCCTACTCCTGCTGGCCACACTATTCCTGATACAGGCCAGGATGCTGTTGGCCTTCTTGGCCACCTGGGCACAAGAAAGGCACCTGTGACTCACACATTTGAGTGAGTCAGGGAGTGGCAAGGGGCACTGGAGGGGTGTGAGGATTGGTGAGATGCTGCTCTGTTGCCAGAGTTTCCCACTTAAAATTGGGGCACATTTCTGTAGTTATAATGGCTCTATGGCCTTTTCCACCAGTGTGAAATATAGTACATAATATCTTAACAAAAATATTTGTGTTATATTCATTCTGTGTCATTTCCTTGCTGGATACCCTCTGGAGTTCATATTACACTATATAAACCTCCACTTCAACTATAAACCTGTTCTCATAGCAGTTTAACTGTCCAGATCTGGATGTAGTATCCCTGGTTTTAAGGTGCCTGAGGTGTCAGGTTGAGGAGTGGAATTGTCCTGGGCTCCCTCCAGGAGACAGGAGATGCACTTCCAAAACATAATCTAACCTATTTAAGATCTGAATCACTCTGGGAGGGTGGCTGCTCTGCTCAGCTGTCCAAACAAGAAGCCTACAGTGAGGATGCTTCTAAGCTGGGTGCCTGAGAGGTAGTTGAGATGAATGCCATAGCAGTGTAAAATAGAAAATGTACAAGCAGCACAAAGCAATCGTACTGTGGGGGCAGTGGGAAGACCTTCATAGCACAATACTTAGAGGAACACCTAAGTTTAAGGATTTAAATTGTCCCTCTAGCATCATAGATGTGGACAGTGGGCTTGTTTACCTTGCAGGGTTTGGTGTGAAAAAAAAAGTACTGTTAACAAAACCTCTTTCCTATGCACAGAGAACAAGAGTTTAACTAAATGGTACAGCAGAGCTAACAGTTGTCCTCTCCTTTTCAGCAGCTCAATTGCTTGATCTTTGAAGGCAAAGCTGGAACTGTTGCTGGGCTCCTGAAGGGGTATTTCTGGGGAAGGCCACCAGGTTATGCAAGAAGTATCTGACTTGGCACAGCAAAATGGGCAAATAAACAGGTGGTGTGAAGGCTGCAGGATGAGTGACAGCGAGTGGTGAGGCTGGGCAGCATCCAGGCGTTCCACTGACATGAAAAGCTGCCACGTTTCCCCGCTTTCTAACATAAGGAGACTTTGGACCCAAACGGTGCAAGAGAGGAGGGCAGAGAAGGTGCAGACATTTGTACGCAGGCAGGAGACATTGCTTGTCTGAAATTTGGGACCCAGAAAAGGCCCGGGAGGTGGCTGATGCTGAACTTCTCCTCCTGCAGACAATTCCCTGGGCTGCACAGCGTGCAGGTCCATCAGCCGCGCCCTGACACGGGAGCAGCCCCTTCCCAGCAGGTCTGGACACAGCTGTAGACCTTGCTGGCCTCAGGTGGAAGCACCGCTTTGCATGCCAAGGCCTGGAGAATCAATGTGATCTGAGCTTACCACGTTTGTTTTGGGATCCATATGCTGTTTTTACATGATTCCTATTGATCAGGATTTTAAAATCATCAACCCTTGCTGCTACAGTTCAATGAGAGAATAAAAGGAGCTGAGATTTGGAAATATTCTCAGTAACTCACCTCCACTCTGTACTTGCTTAAAACAGGTCTGATGTTAGCTGGGACTGGGTAAATCTGGCCAATGTCTGGTGGATCCAGTGCGGGAAGTCTGTCTGGATCCGACTCAGGAATCTGAAAAATTAAGCAGTCATAACTTAGGTTGGTTTTTGGAAGAATAAAACCATTAGCAGAAGTATCTGTGAATGACATCTAGAACACATCAGTTCAATGCAGTTTCACAAGACACGTTGCAGAAAAGACAGGTTGTGCTGTGAGAGGAATGTGACCTGCATTGCTCTCTGTCCTGCTGTGATGCTAAAACATTTGGCAGGAAGAGTATTCAATAGATTGGGTGTATGCACCTCTCTGAAAAAAAAGGGTCCTTTGCCCTGGTAGGACGTAGTCTGCCCTAAAGACATGCATGTACTGAAGCACAGTAATTCTATTTACTAAAATTAGAAAACATAGTAATTTAATTTAACAAAGATCCTGAGCAAAACTGCTCAGGAGACTTTCACAGGAAAATTCTAGTTCTGATTCTAGTTTAAACAGGCTGTTGAAGAGACAGTAAACATCAGCTAAACTGCACATTTGCCAGACAGACAATGTACTCTTCAGCCACCATGGAATAGTGATCCTGCATTATTGCACGCTGTCACCATTTGAGAACTTGCAAGTCACATCTCCAGCATTAGGGCTGGGTCTTCTCCGCGTGACTACTAAAATCTTGTGGCCAGCGGCACTTTCGTTCTTTGTGTGTGATTGCACATAAGCCTGCCCCACGTTCGGGAGCTTCTCTGGGCACAGACGACTGACCCGTGCCAGGTGGGTGGGAGGAGAGCATGCTCCACCACAGCTCTGAGGCTTGACCATGTCTTTGCCTCTTGCTGTGCTCCAGGCTCTGCTGCCCGTTTGGTTCACCTTCTGTGGGAAAGCTCCCTGGCTTCATTTCCCAATCCCTTCCTAATTTTCAACAGTGAATTTATGACCGTCCGTTCAGGGCAGATCTGAAGCCTGACCTGATTCAGCAAATTTCTACATAAAACCGTTGAAGCCAGCACCTGATGATCAGCCCCACCAGAAGCTCAGGCTGTGATAGCAGAGAACAGTAGGAACACAGGTTTCACAGGTGAGCGAACAACCTACAGACAGAGCTCACCTCGGCTTTCACATGAAGTACAGTACCTAAAGCGTACTGTACATACAGCTTCTGGGAAAAAGAAACACAACTTCGAGAGTGTTTCAGTGTTCCTAAGCTAACTTGTCACTGTTGAAAGGTGAAGCAGCTGAGATACAGCTCTCAAAAAATCTCTAAAGTTGAAGTCTCCTGCTTCATTCAACTAGGCCATCTGTCTGTCATCTGCAGTTATGTACAGTTGTGTAGGAGTTTAATTACCACAAGGGAGCAAGGATGTGTTGCCTAGTACCTTGTAGGTGAAGGAGGAGATGGGTGGAAAACGTATCTTCTAGCATAGCACCTGCAGCATATGCGAGTATTCACGTAATTAACAGCAATAATTCACATGCACAGGTTTACTGACTCTTATCAGGAAAAATCCAAAGCAATTAGCTTAATAGATTTTGTGGAATTTAAGGCCAGAGATCGAGGTCTGGTGGTGGTGTTCCCCAATATATCTGGTTTCTATCAGTTACCTCTGTGATGCTGTTTAAAAAGCCAAACAGAAACACACAACTTTGTGAACAATATCTGTCTGTCTAGAAATCCACCTGTTTAGCTTTAATGATATTCAGAGCTTCAACTCTATATTAACCGACATTATATGCTCCAAAAATTTACCCCATAATAGATTTACAGATACTTTAAATAAAACAAGAGGCAAAGATCACCTGAACCAGATCACATACCAGATGTCATGTCCCTGCACAGAGTTCACAGCTCCGGGTACCCACTTTCATTGCATTGCCTGATTTCAATACTGATGACAGGTGATCGAGAAGAATATATTAATCCACATGATACAGTGACTTATGCACATGTAATTTCAAACCTGCACCATTTTTTTCTTTTTGTTTTTTTTTTATTAGAACATACATAGCTATTTGTGTCTCCTCTTAGAGCTGTGAGAACGGATTAGTTCCAAAGGACACAGCTTAGGAGAAGGCTGGTGAGATCTCACATTTGAGGACAGAACTGTCTCATTAAAGATTTTTATTAAACTGCACTCCAGGACTGCAAAACCTAAGACCAATATCTAATCAAGATTCCCTGGATCTTCTTTCTGTATCAGAAATAGTGTGGCCAGCGTATATCTTTTCCTGAAAATGTCTTTAATGGTCATATTGCTATTATCCGCCATGTGAGAAGCTCTAGAGTGTTGTCACTGAGAAGAATAATACGGAGCATGAAAATAAGGACTGCAAGATCTTTACTTACAGTTCTTGTCAATTCTCTAGAGAAGTCTTAGGGGCATATTTGGATATATCCCAGAAGCAGTGCTGCTTCCCTTGTCCCAAAAGGTGGCAAAACAAAACATAATGCTCTCTTTGTTCACCAAAGAGTGGATTTCAATTAAGAAATGGGAAAATTATGGCTAAGGTACTAGACTCTATGCCTAGGTACCCAACATAATGAGGAAATGTTCCAGATGGTGTCATAGTTCAGGCTTTCACCAAGAAATTAATTAGCTCATGAAGCCTGTTTTATCTTGGGAATATCTGTAAAACGTGTCACAGAGTTCCACATTTTTCCCATTTCAGATTTCAGAATATACTGCTGTAGGTTTTCATCAGTGAGAAGTTTCCTCTAACTGGTGGCTCTGCAAATTCCACTGAAATTCCCTGAAATGTCAGGCATGATATACCCCACTCATGCATCTGCTGGGCTAGCCCCAAAGGTAAGCTGAATTTGCATTTTGTCTCAAAAATGGAAAACAGTGTAACATTTCTCTTAATATGTTAGGGTTACCTGAAAACTCAGTTTCCCTAATCCAATCCTTATCCACCTTCCTTTTCCTAAGAGTGAAAGCAGTATTGAGAGCTTTGAGGTTTCCAAAGTCAGGGCCATGTGCTGCTCCAAAGAGCAGGTCTTTGCAATGGCAGTGAGATTTTCACAGTTGTTCCTCAGGTCAGAGCCCAATTTAGGGCAGGGCAAGTGATGGGCAAATGAGGCTCAGAGCATACGAGGGGCTGGCGGTGGTGTGTGCATAGATAGTGGCCCCTGGCAGTGACAGAGATTGCACAGGGACTATGAGGTCCAAGAGCAGAATGATGCTCTTCCAGTTGCAATTCCCATTAATTCAAGAAGGTGATGGGCTTTGATGCCACGGCCACTTTTGTGAGCCCAGGGTGTAAAAGTGCAATGATCAAGAAAGTCTAGTTTACCTCCAGAAGCTCAAATGTAGCAAGAAGGTCTCCTCCTGACAGATTTCCACAATACACCGGGTGGTAAGAAAGTTTAGGCGGTTCATAGTTTTGATCTGCAAGTCTCACCACAGGGGCAGCCACTGTAGACCCAATATATTCTGCCTTACCCTAAATAAAGGAGAATACAGGTGTCAAATGCATTTGAATTTCACAGCTGCCATAGGAGCCAAGATGATGCAGAGTTTAGTATTTTTGTGGAAAAAAACTTTCTCCTGAAGGAAAAAGTGAGGTAAAATGCCAGGCAGCTATGAAAATGGAAGAGCTGAGTACTTACTACCTCTTCAGAGCACCCAAAGTTTCTGAGCTCTACATTCAATCAGTGAGACTGTGCATGGTCAGAGGTAAATCTGTGCCTCCCCAGACTTAGATACAATACTTATAGTTGTGTGAAAGGGAGGTGGGGCAAGATGCTTCTGATTTCTGTAAGCCAGCCCTTGGGAGCAAGATTCACTTAGGAAAAAACAAAGCCATAGCTTTGCAAGGACAAAAAGTGAGTCTTGGGGCTGTTTTCAGATGCAAACTACTGCAAACCACTGTAACACTGAGTTCCATTCAGTGAGGTCATCCATTTAATGTCTTTGCTTTGCTTTCCCACAAGCAGTAAGATATAAAAGCCCAGGTTTTTACTAAGAAGGATTTCGAGTTTACCACTGCATCGTCATCATACAGCTCGATGACGATCTCTGGTGGGAACTGAGCGATCTCCTCTCTGTCGCCATGAAGCACAATGCTGTTGAAGAGTAGCATCTGGTTCCAGGTGGGGGATAACGTCTGAGAAATGATCTAATGAAAGAGAGCAAATGCTTGATGAGCTATGAACTGGGTGGTTGAGAGTCTTTCAGCAGAAGGGCGGCTCTGCTGGTCACGTCCTTTCCCACAGCCTGAACAATTCCTTGTCTGAGACACCACATTTTTCAGCAGCTATTCCCAGCCAGAAGAACATGATTCTTTCACCTTGAGGCCGGTATCTCCAGTTTCTTCATTTCCCTGTTAGCCTCACAGACCCCTCACAAGCATATCAATACATGATCACCAGTCTGTGTAGACAAAGCTCAGTATTAAATTTAGAGGAAAGCTCTTGGTTTAGGAAAGCAGTTGCATGTCCAGTGCTATTAAAATAAAGCCTCTGCCCTAAACCGAGGCCAATTTTCACTTCTCCAGGGTATATTTTTTCCAATCTTGTTTTTATTTCAGTGTAATGACACAGAACACTTAATGGGGAAAAAAAAAAATTAGTGGATCACTCATAATAAATCAATAGTTTTTAATTTGTTGCAATTTGGCTTATGTGGATGCTTATAGCTTTTCATCATAGACAATGTTTTATCTGTCTTGGCAGGAAATATATTTAACAAAGATAATATTTAAAGCGGAAAAATATGCCAACTGTAAAATTACTCATAACCTGCTATCGTTCTTTCAAATGAAAATAAGGCTCTTGACTACATTTTATTGGCACTTGGCTGACAATCTTCTAAAAACATGCAAGTTATTGGCTGCAATATTTTATTCAAGCAGTGAATACACTTAACACTTCTGTGCCTATAAAATCCTATTTTTCCTGGGCCAAATTCTATTTTCCTGCATCTGGTACATCTAAACACTAACTTCATTGGCTTCATTCACCAACTTCTATTCTAAGTTAAAATCACATTACAGAAAAAAAATCAATTCATATCCTTGAGGCAAAAGCAGCACAAACAGGCACCTACAACTTAGAGCAGAGAAAGTTTTTTGCTTCTTGCTCCCTTTGGCACATGCTACAGAACTTGCTTCATAAGAGAAGAAGGTGTCAGACGAATTTTAGAATTAATTAAAACAGTCTTCTGAGGAGTTTTTTGGGGGAAGGGATGGATAGTGGGGTTAAATATTTTTCCTGATGCAAAACCATATTTGACCCAGCAAATTCTGCTTGTGGCATGGGTTTCAGGACTTGCAGCCCCATTTTAACTCCAGGGTACTTGTAGAGGGCTAAGGACCTCTGAAAGTCCGTCTTCATGTTCTGTGAGGGACCATCCTCCTGCTCATTTGCCAGGGCTGTACTTCAACCCTTCTTGCTGGAGCTCTGTAGAAGTTCCCCCTTCTCTCTAGAGGCTCCACCAAATGTCCACAGGAGACCACTTAGCCCCTGGAGATGCCTGAGGGAGATGTGAGACCACACCATATGGGCACATTTTTGCAGCATTTAAGTGGTGCAGAACATCTCACACCTCTTTGTCTTCAGCTCATTTCAACTTTGCCAGCCTAAAACCACCCACGTGCTTTCCCGAATTTCATTGCAAAGAGCCATGCTGGCTCGTATGGCTACAGAAGCCATAGGAAGGTCTTCACACTTTGCTCAATCATTGCACACATAGACCACAGGAAAAGAGAACCATGGGGTTTCACCCTCACACCAGGCAATGACAACAGCCCAAACTTAAAACGTATAGAAAAAGATGTAGAGACATCTACAAAGCCCCAGTAGCCCCAGAGAATCTGACATCCAAGCTAAAATAAACTAGTACTACTATGCCTCATGTCAAAGTAGTGGGTTACACTTAAACTTTTGCCTTGCTTGCAGTGAACTGTCAGGAATTGCCCTCTAGCAGCGGGCATCTAACTTTGGCTGCTAGGTACCTCCTTACAAAACCAAGATTTTTCTTTTTCATGGCTTAATTGGAAAAAAAAAAAAAAAAAAGGCTTTTATTTACTGAAAGAGACTTCGGAAGTTACCTTAGTGGTCTGGCAGTGTGATGTGAAAGTAACTTTTGCAAAAGGATCGGAAAGTCCAGTGCTGTCAGCCGCAATGAGTCCCCTCGCCTGATACATGTGGGCTCTCAGCTGGAAGAGGTGCAGGGCTACGTCATTGCAAAGAAAACAGTAATGTCAGCTTCGTGGAAATGATGCAGCACATAAGTAGGAAGGGAAGATTCATCACTTGCTGTCCAACCAGGATCTGACAAAGGGAACTGTTGCTAGTGCTGTCTCACTAAACAAACAGCTGAGACACTCAGAGGTTGTGTAAGACTTCTGTATTACCTTAAAACCAATGTCCAATGTAAGTTTCTACTGCAAGGTTGTTAACTGTTAATTTTGATCTCCCTTATGTCACTGGTTTATCTACTAGGTGTTCAACATGGTAGCTTCATCAGGAGAACTGAAGGATACTTCCTCATTACGAGGTGACAGACCCATGGGACAGGGAACATAAATTGTAAGTGAAAAGGTCCTTTCTTCCCCTGACATCTGCAAAGTGTCAGTGGTAGGACTGATGACTTGGTAACGACACCAGCCTTTTCTGATTAAAAGATGCTAAGCTTTTGTTCATCTTAGAACGGTTACATTAGATAGAGGTTGTGCCACCCTCTGAACCAGAGCTTCTGCGGCAATGTCTCTTAACTGCTAATACGGAGAAGAAACAGTGCCTTACTTTTATACAGCAGGCAGGCAGGTGAGGGCACCGCACTGTGCCCTGAGTTGGTGTTAGGTGGTAATTCAGTCTCATATCCTACAGGCAAATTCTCCATGATGCTCTGGGCATAGCTGGCAGGTCCAAGCCATAGGTAGATGTCCACCTTTGCCTGCACAGTCCAGCCCAGTGGACGCTTGCCTGGTAACTGAAGAAAAAAATCCACCCATCACGAAGAAGCTCAAGAAAGAGAGATGGCTGGATGTTGAATCCTACCAAGCCAGAGTAAAATAAAGGAGCATTCACTGAGTTGATACACTGATAAAGGCATTTCTCCAAGTGAGTGGCCCTGACACTCACTTAGCATAAGGAACTTCTTAGGGAAGAAATGAGTAGTTTTCTCGGTTGAAAGTCTATGTGAATGGCATACTGCCTAATATGCAGAGATTTGTGCAGGCTGCCTAATAGCTGCAAGCATATCAGTGCTAGCTGATGCCTACTTTTCCCAGACTTCAGCCCACTTTCCTTTCCATCCAGTTTTGCTGGTCTCCGATAGTTAGTCCCATGTATTGCTAAAAGTATTACTCCATCGGGCAGTTCAGAAAACATATTCCAGTATAAAACATTACTAGTCTTGACAAAGAATACTATTATTTCCTTCCTCTCCCTTCCCACTTCATCGAGCTCTGCTAAGCTCAATGTTTAGTATTTTCTGTTCATAAGCTAATTCTCGATATTGAAGGGTCTGGAGAGTTAATTATGGTATTTTTTTGTTCATGCAGGCAAATAGTACTGTGCTTGACAAGTTCCTATGGCAACTACCTGAGCTTAGATAATTCTATCTGCTCTTTAGCTGTGCTTTATGGGAGTGCTCCCAGATGCTCCAGGTGAAAACCACTAAAAAGTTATTATATGAAGTTACTATTGTCTTGTGTGTTTGGGCTTTTCTTGATGGCCATAGTAACAATTACATTGCATAATATTCCACTGCCAGGTCACTGCCTTTGTAGGAGTATATCCACTAAGACTTTCCTTCAAGATGAATAATCCCATAACAATATTTTGGACATATATTGCACAAACCTAGGCACATTTTAAATAGCAAGCACAAATAATTGCTCTATTACCTCTGAATACCTAGATTTCCTTGCTATCTGAGTTGCTGTGTGCTGATCTCTTACCAGCCTCCTCCCGGGCTTTCATGTGCTGCATTCTGATGTCATTGCCAGCAAAAAGGCTGTACCTCTTCTATCTGTTTATGTATACAGCTATAGATAAACAATGGTATGTAATTGCCATAACAAGTAGTGAGAATTAATTACTCATACACCAAGAACCTGGCAATGATACAGTGCTTAAAGAAGGACAAGCATAAGTGTAAGAAGCAAACATTAGCAAGTGGCAGATAGGAACATGTACACATTTTTAGTACATCACAAACATGAACCTATAAAATACAATCCCTGGAAGAAATTCAAATACCGAATGCTCCCCAGGCATTACCTGCGTTTGCAGAGCACCCCAGACTTACTTTCAGGAAATGGGTTTTAATCTTCCCACAGTCCTTGCCTCTCTGCTCTTTTGCTGGGGAATAGAGTATGTTTTTTGCTGGGACTCTTGCATATGCAACTCTCTTGTTGCTGCTGAGCATCCAAATGAACACATCAGGCACTGTATTCTGTGGCTGTTAAATGACAAGGAATATTGTCTGGATTCTTCCTATGAGCTACCACCATTACTGTTTGTTAAAACATCTCTACCAAGAGCTGATTCCCCCATGGCTCCTGTGGAGTGGCAGATGTGCACCCAGACTAAAAGAGACTGTCGCTTCATGCTTTGCAATCCAAACCTCCGTTACTAAGCACAGCTGAAGGTAAAGAGCTTTGCAGAGTAATAAGTCACCCACTCTATAAATCATTCCAGGAGAAACTAAAACTAAAAATCTGGGTATGAGACTGTCTCAGGAAATAACTTACCCACAGACTGCGTAAGCTGAAAGTACCTACCATGGAAATACCATCAACTTCATCTATACCAGCAAACCAAAAAGGGCCAGGACCAAACTTAAGCACTGGCATGCGATCATCTATTCTGCTCGTGAGTATGCTCAACGGCATCACCTTGCCCTGTCCCGAATAACATTTCCCCAAGCAAAGCCTGAGCATGGTTTGAATCAAAGACCAGCCCAGGGGCTGCTCCCAGGAGGCACTGCGAGCAGAGTCACCCTGTTTTGGGAAGGAAAAGCATTTGGGTGTAGGCTGCAAACCATGCCAGGCTGTCCACTTGATCTCTGAGCCAGGGAATAGCCATGGCCCTGCCTGCTAGCACAGACAGCTCCCAGAGGAATAGCACTCCATTGGCTGGGTTTGGGCCTGACTAAATACGTCCGTTCTTCTGTTATTCTCGGGCTTAATAGCATGTCTAAGCAGTGTCTGCACAGTGAAGTGTAGTATAGAGACCCCTGAGCTCACACCGGCCCAAATCACTAATTCCATGCAAGTGGAGACATGAATTCAGATCGGAAAGCAGGCTGTCTCCAAACCACCAGGACACATACGGGATGACCTTATCTTTAAAAAAAGAAGGAAAACTCTCTGTACCGCATCCTCTCCATACCACATAGCCCAGTGTTTCCTACCACAGTCTGTTAACAGCTTCATGTAATGCAAAACAGGATTGGGTGCAGGTATCCAAACAACGCTTTGGATAACCAGGCCAGGAGTTATTATTCATATGAAATTATGAAAATCAAAGTCAAACCCTGGACTTTAAATCTATCTGAATTTCTGTGTGGATTACCTCATCAACCAAGAATCGAATTTTATCTATAAAGCTCTGAGTCTCACGCATCATTTCATCCAGTGGCATCTTCTTTTTCTGCTGCTGAACAATTCCCTTGGCATCACTGGACATTGCCTCCTGCAGTCAGGAAAGACAATACGTATTTTTTATGCATTATCAAGTAGTTTGAACCAGACACAGAAGGAGAAAACAGCCAATTCAAGTTGAAAACAGAAGATGGGGACATTTGGTTCAAGGTAACAATTACCTTTGTCACAACAGAAAGTGATCAACTCTTTGGAGCTGAAGAACATAAAGTGTGAATGTCCATCATTTTATCTTTGCATGTATACTGCATGTATGGAAGTCTCAAGAGACATGTGATTACCACCTAGAGTTATCAGGCCTCAATCCTGACAGAAGTCACAACCAAGTTCTGTGCTACAAACAGTAAATAAAGCTCATAAACATTCAGATGATCTCCACCCAGTTTGGCTTCTTCTCACTGGCTCCCTGGAGGAGGTGACGAGGTCCAGGAATATCAAATGCCAGACTTCACCAGTCTTGAAATTTAGCCCCACCACACTAATTAAACGCCTAACAGCAGTGTTAATTTGGTGTTTTTCCACTGAACTCGCATCATCCCATTTTAAGATGCATGGAAAATCAAAATCAGCTCATCATTATAATGTCTTATTTGTATTTAAAAACATGTTCTGAACTATTTTAGGGTGTCTGGCAAGTCTTTATTAAGCGCAGTGGGGTTTATGTACAAAAGTGCTCTTGGATACTATATTAATACTAATTACAAAGCATTCCAGTATGGTGAAATCAAATAGAAATTAAAATTTATACAACCAGCATGCTTTCAGTTAACATCATTGCACCAATGCTTCAAGAAAAAACACACGTACCAGCTCTTGCTTGAACAGCATGAGTCTCTTTTTGTCCAAGGCAGTGCAGTTCAACCCTTTGGGCTTCTTTTCAGCAATGGTAATGAAGGCCCTTGGGTAACAAGAAAAACAGGTTCTTTAAGTGTGTTATTTTTTTAATGTGAGCTGCTAAAATATATTGGAATGAAATTGCCTCTGTCTGCTGCAGTACATGAACCAGAAGACAGATGCTGAAATTATCTAAAATAATGGGGCACCTATAAGATTCAAAGCAAAGAGTCCAAAAACTCCACATATTTCACAGAAACAGGGTTAATACCTAGAAATTAGGGCTCATGTCTATTTTGAGCCCAACCATGTCATCTGACACAGAGCCCACTGACTGATTTATCCCAGCATGTGGAATCCTTTGTTTTTATCTTAGCCTTGTCCTTTATTACAACATGTCTATCACACACTTGATTGACAGTAGTCTACTGTCAATACTGAATATTGAAAATAACAATAAAATATTTCCTCTGTATAAATATAAACTGCAGTTTGGGAAGGTGTTTACTTTTATAGCAGAATAAATAAAATATATATCTCAGTAAGTTTACTGCACTTTTTTTATTATCATCAGTTTTCTTGTCTAGCCTTGAATTTGTAGCCAACATATAAAGTTGATTTTCTGTATGCCTCTAGTAAATGTAGTTACCTGCTTTGATTGATAAAATCATTTAAGCTTATCCGCATTTTCTCCTCAGATGCAATCTCTGAAACCTTGATCAAGTCCTTTACTTGCTCCAATGATTCTTCCTACGAAAAACACATGAAAAAAACTTTATGTAAAGGAGGGCATTTTGTCATTCTGCCAGTGTTATAATGCCACTATCCACTGTATGACTAGGAAGAATGAGGGAGGCAACCTTGTAAACTGACAGAACAGGACCTTTGATATATCATCACACTTGAAGTGTGTAGAGAGAATACTCCAGCAGTATGATTTATTTTGGTCTTTCCCCAGTCTCTCCAACTACTAGTCCAAGCTACTACTCATTGGAGCAGCTTTGTTTTCTTGCTTCTCTTGTGAAGCTCCATCAGTAGGAAACATTCTCCTCTAGGTAGGTGGGAAAACTGTCCATACTCAACTTTAAAGAAGGGTAGAAAAAAATCACTATGGAAAAACACTATGACTAGGGCACGCAGTGGCTGCCCATGAGACAATATGCCATTTTGTCTCTATCAATGTTTTTTTTTAGGAAAACTAAAACCAAAAAGTGCCCATTAAAGAGTCTCCAGCATAAACACAGATTAAACCATGTGGTCTAGGCAAGAAGACATCAGAGGAAGAGCCATAGGAGACAGAATTATTCTATATCTCATATTTTAATTTTTTTACTGTTCTTACAAAGAATAAAACATTTCTGAGAAAAGAAGACAGCCCTACAGCCAAAAAAAAAAAAAAAATTGTGGACAGGAATACTTGACTAGCTCTAATAGATCAAAGAAATTTGGGGGAAAAAAAAGAGAAGGGGCTGATATCAACTGCTCTTTCACAAAATGAAGAGCAAGGAATGCAGTTGGGAGAAATTTTGAAGGCCTGTTTTGGGGAGTGTGACCTCTCACTGCCATACTCTACTGAATACATAAGCCTAGGAGGATGATTGCCACTTACCAGGTGTTCTGCCATTTTCTCAAGAGTGTTGGAAGTGTACAGACGAAAGGTCTGGTCACCCCAGTAGCTCTTGACACAGATACAGGGCTTCCTCTCGTTGTATGGCAGGTACTGGTAGTTCCTGTGAAAACAAAGTATATAGCAGACGATAAAGGTGAGAGAGAAGTTCAGGGGGAGGCATGGGAAGGAAAAACTCTTTGGTGCTTTCTCACAGCACAGAAACCAAAGACATGACAGGGTGTGTTCACATGTGCTAACCAGTAAGTACTGGGAAGAACAAACACAAACATCACTTATGCTACCTGTGAGATCCCTGAAGAGAAAAAGTTTGAAGTCAATGGATCTAATTCCACTGCTTTCCAGGGTGGGAGAAAAGCCAGGCAAAGAGGCATACAGAGAAGCTCTGAAATACTGTGAATGATGGGAAACAACAAGGGAAAAAGGAGCAAAGATTAAAATCTGATCTCTTCAAGAGCAATGGCTCCACACACTGCACAGCGGGAGAGGCATAGCAGAGCCTCACCACCACATTACTTTCAAAAGCTGCTTTTTTTTCAGAAGCAACAGCTCGTGGAGATTGACACTCCTTGGCAGAAGCTGATCTGCACGACCCTGCTTAGTAAAAGTGATACCAAACTCATAATAATTCAGTCATAAAGTGCATCTAGTGCTTTCTCTTTTCTCACTTTTTATCTTAGGTCCACATTGGCATACTGACTCTTTTTGCAATGCTGCTTTCTTTGCGTGTTCAGCTGTATGAGTGTCTTGTACTGAAAAAAAATGAGCAAGATGACAGCATAAGCAAAGGCTCTGGAGACTTCAATGCACAACTGCCAGAAAGCCTGATGTTTTGATTAGAGTTGTGGTAGGCACTACGTCAAAACCATGTACCTGACAAGCACATTGTCCTCCCTTTATATAAATACTATAGCCTTATGTAACACCATGCTCAGCCATACTCAATTTAACACTAGAGGTCTCATCATTTTCCTTAATAATGGTGGGACAGTGAAGAGGTTTTTAATGGATATGAAGCTCTCTAAACTGCTTTATGTTCTTCTAGGAATGGCTTTAACCAAATGCCACCAGTACATGCTCTGCAGCTGAGAAGAGGCTGTACTGGAGAACTATTTTCTGGTGTATACTTGTGCTGTGTTTTAACTCCAGTCAGCAACCAAGTACCACATAGATGCTCGCTCACTCCCCCACGGTGGGATGGGGGAGAGAATCAGAAGAGTAAAAGTAAGAAAATTCTCGTGGGTTGAGATAAAGACAGTTTAACAGGTAAAGCAAGAGCCCTGTGCACAAGCCAAGCAAAACAAGGAATCTATTCACCACTTCCCATGGGCAGGCAGGTGTTCAGCCATCTCCAGGAAAGCAGGGCTCCATCATGTGTAACAGTTACTTGGGAAGACAAATGCCATCACTCCAAATGTATGCATCCCCTTCCTTCTTCTTCCCCCAGCTTCATAGGCTAAGCATGATGTCATATGGTATGGAATACCCCTTTGGTCAGTTGGGGTCAGCTGTCCCAGCTGTGTCCCCTCCCAGCTTCTTGTGCACCCCCAGCCTTCTTCCTGGTGGGGTGGTGTGAGGAGCAGAAAAGGCCTTGACTCTGTGTAAGCACTGCTCAGCAATAAGAAAAGCATCCCTGTGTCACAAATCCAAAACATAGTCCCATACAAGCTATTACAGAAAAAATTAATTCTATCCCAGTCAAAACCAGCACAACTTGCCTTGTGACCCTTCAGTATTTCTCCACAGAAACGGATTCTGTAAATAATAAAGAATAAAACTACCTGAGCCTCCTGCTCTTCATGTTGTTCAACAACTGGCAGAAGAAAGGGTTGCATTTTCCATTTTCTCTCCCCTGGGAGAGGCTGTGGTGTCCAAGAAAGTGTCCAAGAGAGTGCACTTGGTATGGAGAGAAGACTTGGCTTCTTCCGTTTCAAGGTCTCTCTATCTGAGCACAGCCAAATTTTTGGAAAGTCCTGATCATCTGCTCCTGAAATGCAGAGCCCCAATAGGCTGAGTTCCCTAAGCATGGGCATCCACCTGTGGGCCCAGAAGGGTCTGGGTCTCTGATGTTTGCTTGTAAGGGTGCCTCAGATACCATAAGTCGTTCCTGATAGAACTAGGCACGTGTGTTAAACCACTAAGCCACAGAAACCAATCACTTGTTGATCTTGAGCATCCTACCCATAACTCCTAACTTCCACACATCCCTAACAGGTTTATGTGAGAATTTTTCTGTTTAAAAAGATGAAGATCTTTGCTACAAATTCATTTTACTGCCCTATGGGATATCAAAAGAGAAACAGGATTTCACATTTACTTTCTCCTCAATAACCTACAGCAAGGTGAGCATTACCCATTTAATTTGGTGCACAGTAGAGCTACACAGGTCTCAGGCAATCATTAATTTCAGTTGTTTCATAAGAGGGAAAAACAATTCAACTATCTCCCAATGCCAGAATGTCTTAAACTGAAATTCATAGAGCTTATGAGTCTTTTAATGGGATTTACTAAAAAAATTATATAGCCATGAAATAACTCACATAGAATACTGAACATTCATGTCTATTATTCACACTATGAGAGTTTGGGGGGACCACTTTTTTAGTATTAGCTTATCTTTGCTATATGTTTTGACATATATGTGGACGATTCCTGGCCATTTCATGCTTTATAAGTCTTATGGCTCTGCTTGCTCCTTTAATCAGTTAGTGGGTTTAATCTGAAAAATGGACTCTAGTTATTGTTTTCTATTATTCGTTTATGATTCTAAAATGCAGATTTTGTCCAAACTATTGCATATCCCCTTAAGTACTGATTAATACTAGAAATATCCAGCAATGAGACCAGTAAGATGCCAATATGAGATCACAGTCATAAAGACATTAGTTGGTATCTGTGGCTGTATTTTAAATAGCACAAGAGGGGAAAAAGATGCAACATTTTACATAAATTTGAGGAAAAGGGATCTTTAATGAGAGAAAACTTTGTTAATATTGGAGTGAGCCAAGAAACAAATAGCAGATTTGAAGAATGATTCATTCTTTTACAATAGGTCTTTAAATCTAAATTCTTGTTAAGGGAAAAACTAAAAATCCCACAGTCTCTGAGGAAGGATAATAACCCAGCCTGTACCCAAATCTGCAGTCTTGTTAATGAGGAGAGGCAACTATTTTTCTGTCAAACATTGGTTTTTTTCCTCTTCTCTTTATTTATTTGCTGCAGAAACAAAAACTTCTACCATGGTATTTTCATTCTTGTTTTCTTCCACTAGCTCTTATTTAATCTTATTTAATCATTGATTGCAAGAAAGGATGAAAGCATTTTTTAACTTTAGAGAGCTCCAGAAACCAAGTAGATGGCAGTTGATAATTTCCACCTGGTCTTTATACATGTGTCTGTCCTTCTAAAGAAAGAGGTACCATCTAGTCTTGGCACTCAACAATATCGAGGACCATTCTACCTACCAAAGCAACAAAGAAAGTATTTCTTTTTATTAGCATCTTTGAAATGAATTAAACCTTTACACTTCTGTTGATGAACAAGGCCATTTAGAAGAACTGTTCTGCATGTTTTCATCCATTGCTCCATTCTTTTTTTCAAGGACTATTTCATCCTACTTCTGTTACTACTTGCTATTTAAGGCTACATCTATAATTATTAGCTCTGAAAAGTGTTCTGGGAAACTGACTTTTTTTTGACCAGATTTCAACATTTTTGATGTGTTACTCTGCTTCTGGAGCTGGTCACCGGGTGGACGTTATTTGTGATCAGAGTATGGGACCCTAAACCAGGTATAGCACTGAAGGAGTTGCACTTTCCTATAGCTTTCCAATGTATAGTTGGTATAATGCAGCCCTTTTAGAAACACCAGAAGTTCAAGATCCTATGAGGCCAAGATCAGAAGATGAGTGTAAAATGTCTCAGAGCCCATTCACTTCAGTGGAGCCTAGAAAATATACTGTTGTGAAAGATGCAACTGAGGATTTTAAAGTCTCAATTCCCCATAACATGTTTAATGCTGACAGGGTTCATTAATGAGTCCCGCAGGATTATAAAATAGGAAACAGAGTCCTGCATGATAAGGTTTTGAAACACAGATCCTCACCTGTTCCCACCTGTAACCAGTGGCTTCTCAGGAGGTGTGGTAGATATCAGTCGTACTCCAAGGTCATGAGAAATTTCATCCTCCCCCTCATGCAGCAGGTTTTCATCTGCTTCTCCATCACGTGTCTTCTTTTTCCAACCAGCTTCTGCTGACACCCCATCAGTAATATTTCCAAAGTTACCTAGAGACACGGGGTTACAAGTGAAGAGATGACTAGCTTGCAGCTGGTAAACCTGAATGAGGTTTAAAAAAGAGAAAGAGCAGTCATACCAGTGGAAAATCTCTATCCCCTCCTGTTCATTACCTGTTCTGACCATACCACAGTTTATAAAGCTCCTGGTCAGTCCCAATGACTTTTCGGGCTCCAGGACAGTGCTTCCTTACCTGCCCTATGTGATATATACCTAGTACCCCACCACCCCCATCACTAAGTGATGCAATCCTCTGGTTGCTGGCCCACAGGACCTTCTGCTTTTGCTAAAGAAATGCAGAAGCAAAAATGATACTGCTGTTGATATGTTGAGACACAGGAGCCCCAATACTGTGTTTGATTTACACAGCAAATGTATGTCTTCTTTACAACATATGGATATTCATTTCAAAGTCTGATCTCAGAAGTGCTAAAACTCATTTTCAGACAAACAAATTTTGCATAGTAGGGTTGCAGAGTTAGTAATAACAATGCTTTGAGGCCCCAGCTTCAAGCCTAATGCCAGACAACTCTGCTAACAATACAACCATCTTCTCTGATAGGATTTTGCCTTAAAGGGCGATTACCAGCACTGGGAAAGAGGCGCATTCATCAGAGTGGTAATTACAGATTTTGTTAGACAGAGGCAGAAAACATTCCCTGCGGGAGAAGGATGTGCTGAATCACACCATATGACATCCTGATCAGGACTTTTGGTTCAGACTTTCATGTAAATAATGTCCATTTGCCACATTTGGATCCAAATTTCAACTGCACTGGTAGATGTTCAGGTCCAGAATTCAGAGCCAGATTAATCTTTAGTATTAATACTGACAAGTACCACTATAATTTCTTGTCCAACTATACAAATGAGTTTCTTGTCATTCTCAGCTCTGCTTCCTGCTAAGTTTCAGCAGAAAGCAGTAATATCGCTCTTCGATTACCCCGTTTGTCACAGCCATCTCTCCCTGCACACATAGCCTTACAGTTGAGTGCACTCAGGTACACAAGCACAAAGATGGGAAGTGCCAGGATGCTACTCTGCACTTGGGCTCTAAGTGAGGCTAGTACAGAGATTAGCAAACACCTGCAAGGGAAAGGAGACCAATTCAAGCTTTTTTCTTAGGGGAAATTTCTTCTGCTTTTCAGTGTTCATGAAAATATCTTCATTTTCTCTCTAGTCTGCTCCCAGGGTCTAGGACTAATTCAGCTCCGCCATGAGGAAGTCCCTCACACAATAAAGGGCTGCTTTACTCAGAAAGAGGACAGGACTTATCAGGAGGATCTTAGAGGACTAGCTGGTGCGTGCATTTTGAGGCTTGGCTGTACATCACCCCCATGCCATACCCTCAGACCCACGTGTGGCTCAATGGGGTTGTCCAAGACAGTCCACGTGGATCCTGCCTGCAAAGGGACTCCCTTGCAGCCAGAGACTAATTGCAATGGGCACCACAGAATGAACTCTGCCCTGGAGTAAATTGTTTGTGTGTAGTCTCCCAAGAGACCAGGAGGCTAAATACTGGGTGAGTTGCTGTATCTAGTGGGTGAGAGGAATTGTATTAACAAAGGGCACCTGAGAGTAGAGACAGCTAGGCATCAGCATGCCCAGCTTGACAGCTACCCAAAGAAATGGTGATCAGGGTTTAATTCAAATGTAAGCCGATGTAAATGTGGTCCGAAGCTGACTCCTGAGCCCCGAGACACAGCTCTCAATAACATGTAGCACCCTCTTGCTCCTGAGACCCCCTCTCTGCTTTGGAGAGTTTAACACACTTACCAACAGAAACCTCAAAGATTATTGGCTTGTCCCCAACCTTCCTGTCAATCATTGTGGCTTCAAAAAATGTCCCAAAGAGGAGGAATTCCTCAAATTTCTCTTCATAGATCTATTGGAGAAGAAGGAGGCAGAAAAAATTACATTTATTTTGCCTTCTACTCTTTTTTACACAACTGAGGAATCTTTATAAGTCTCTAGCAGCTGTATTACTGTTGGTCTGAGGTGTCAGTGAGGCACAATTTGTAGAAAGAAGTGATACCTTTTCTCTGAGAAATTGATATGATTGGGAAAAGAGTTACATAAAAGTCATTATCCCTCACTCCATACTCTGCCTCACCAGTAGTCACTATTAAATGGCTTCAGCGTCTTCACATACCATCATTCAAACTATACATCTATAGCAGTTCAAGGCAGTTTAAGGGCAGGTTTTTAGTGCAACAACAACAAAATATCACCATCCCGATATAAGTAATTTATCAGTGAGTGTGGCAGTAGTTTTCCTTCACATTGCAGTAACAAATGCTGCCATCATAATGCATCCAGGCAGGGGAGTGCTCACCCGGTTCTGCTTTCCGTAGGATGACTTTAACACATGTGTTTGGCACATGTGTTTGTGCCATCAAGACATTGACCTTGCTCAAAATCAAGACGTTGACACTCAGCTCCCAGTGACACCAGTAAGACACAAATATTTCTAGTATCCACATTTTATATGGCAGGCCTGTGCAAAAGCTTACTGAAACCAAGCAGTCCATTATTTTTACCCTGCTGTGTTTTAAACCACAGGACAAAGGTGGGGTCTCAGCGTGGGGGAGTGCAGTCCTCCACTATTGCCTTCCCTGGCATCACAGCACAGAAACCAGTGACCCAGTAACCTTGTTTTCAACTTTTGACAGAATTTGGACGCACAGGAACCAAAGGGTCTCAGCACAGCCACACACCCTGAAAAAAAACACCTTTTGTGGAGTTTTAAGACTCTGCTAGGCTCTGTTTAAACCCATTGGAGACCCAGCATCTGGTTGTCCCTGGCGCACACTCTCGCTCAAGGAAGGCCAGCTAACACCTCTAGTACTCTTGGGTCATTAACAAAACAAGCTATTAACCCCAAGCCAAGACTAAGCTAAAAGGAGATACATTTTATGGTTTGAGTTCTCTCCAAATTTACACCCTGACTGCCACAATCTCTCCAATGCAAACCCTACTCATTTCACAGCATAAACACTAACGTACTGAAGCCCATTAGGTAAGGTCAGTACTAGCTTCATTTGCAACAGAGTTAGGCAATGAATAAAACATCAGCTGTATATGAGTATGTGTTTCCCTGACTTTTGCAAAGCAGAAACAGCTTTTGACACAGCCCATGATCTCTTCATTTTGAAATCCTCTGCTATACACAGTAAAAGGGCATAGGTCTTCAGCGAAAGGATTAGCAGCATCACATATCAAAGCTAACACCACAGACTGCAGCTCCAGAGTGGCTTTAGCTTCCCTGTGTTTTGATTATTTTCAGCACGAATCCAGAGCATAGGGTGCCTGATAAAGATGAGGCTCAGAGACTATGACACACACATCTATCTATCTCCTGATATAAAGAAAGCAAATTGCAAAAGTTTAATGTCTTCTTGCTGCCAGAATAGGTCAATAAAGTTGTGCTGTGGGGCTGGGTAATTCGCTTCTGATGTCTCAGAGGCTCTATGAGACACTTTTTTCCTTATTTGTAATGTCTCCAGTTCTTGCTTTTCCTTTCAGAGAGTTGTAATACAATTACTGTGTCTACTGTAGCGTGAAATATTGCTGAATATCAAAACAAAAGAATATCAAACATCACTGTATTATGTTGTTGCCTTTTACTCGTTCTGTATTTGAAACTGAGGCACAGTAGCCAGAAATAAATCCTTATTACTACTATTAATATTCACTGGTGTTACAGCAGGGGTTGTTCCTCTATATGGAGTATCTAGCTAGCACCTAAGACTATAGGGTTTGAGCCACTCACAATAATGGACTTCTTCCATATAAAGGAAAATCTATATGGAAATAAATTTCTTCTCATGTCACCTCTATTACAATCTTCAGAGAAGAACTGAGGGACAGAAGCAATTTACAACTATATGAGTATATAAAGCAAGACCAGGGCACAGGCTCACACCACTGGCTTGCAATTACCCATGCCATTTGTCTGCTAACACACTCCTTGACCTGCTCCAGCTGGCACTCATGCCAGCAATGCCAGGGCACAGGCCAAGGAAGAGCACTTGTCAAGGCTAGGAACAAGACCAAAGAACAATTCCTCCTCTCCCATTTACTTGTAGAGACGTAAAAGACCAAGAATCAGATCTAATAAAGGACAAGAGGCAATGTGGGAGGTGGGACTCCCACTACAAAAGCCAGCATTCTGATCAATGACATACTGAAGTCAGAAGAAAATTGGTTATGAGAATATTTTTCTTTCTATTTATTGGATTAAAAAAAATAGAGCTTGCATACGCACCAATGTGCTGCTGCTCCCAGACAGTGATGTGATGGAGCAGAGAATCAGAGCTCAAGTATTGGCTCAGCACCTGAGCCCACGTGCCCTGCCACAACTGCACAACCTTCTCAAAACATCGTAGCACAGATCTTCCCATGACGTAACTCAGTACGACAGGTGGAGTTAGGAAAGTCACGTCAGCTAACACCCGTTGAGGCTGAGCACATGATTTGCAGCCCCTCTCTTAAAGAGATCAGCAATCCAAAACTACGTTGACAAATGCAGGGTTAAAGGAGGCGACTAAAACAGGCTAGGCTGTATCTCTGCATTTGCACAACTCCTATGGCAGTGATTCCCTACTGACTTCAACTGACAACTACCGATTTTCCCAAATGAATGCAGGAAATCAGACTTTATATTTACCAGCTGCCCCCATAGGCTCTCTGTCATTTAGCAGATACTACATCATGTAAGTTTCTAGTAGGAACACATGGATGTGGCTAGTGTAGAAGGGACGATAGGACACAAGACTGAGTTTTATGGAAATCAAGTCCTACTTGAGATTTTTTTACGAGTTACAGGTACATATTAATGCTCCATTTGTGTTGCATTATTATGGGAAGGTCCCAAGACTATGGAGGCGTGGAGAAGCTGTAGGGAGCACATAGAAGCAGTATTACATGGCCTGAACCCAAATACACATATCAGTGCCATCCTTAGAGGTTTAGGGAAACATGTCAATCAATCTCTTAATATCATACTGACCTCTGAAGGCACATCGAATGGCTCGACTTCCACTTCAGTTGAGTTCATCTTATCTGAAGGAGGAGCTGACTTTCGATCCTCTCCTGCTTTCTCAGTTTTGTCTTTTCCTTTGGGTGCTTTGAAGTCTTTATCTTTAGATAGCAATTTGATATCCTTGATAATACTTGAAAACTTCGACTCTCGGGCTCCTCCTGAAAGTATCTCCACAGCAATCTCAATGAAGAGACGTCCCCTAAAGGAGACCCCTTCTCCAAAACCTTCGTTAAGCTCCTGGTGGTCATCCATGAGGCTGTGGTTCCTGGGTGAGCCATAGAGATTGATCCAGGCAGGCCCAAAGGTAGGCAAAAACCCTGGAGATAAAGCACTTTTTATGGCATTTCCATTAGGTTTTAGCACGCTCTCCTCACTGTCTGCTCCAAGAAATCTTTCCTCTTGCACACCAAAAGCCAAGCCTGGACCCTTTTCTATGCAGGTGGGGACCATCTATATAGAGCGCTATTTTGCAGGGCAATTCTTTGGCACCAAGGAGCCTCTGCCAGTAACCAGCCAGGGTCTCTGCTGGTACGGAGCCCTTTCTCAGAAGGTGTTCGTACCACACACGCCAGGGCATGAGGTCTGCTGCACTTCTTGAAAAAAAGAGCTTGCGCCCATAGACTGAGGGCTGGGACATGGTGGGAGAGGAACAGAGGCTTTCACACCTTGTCCAAATTGTTCCCAAGCGCATGTGACTACTCAGTTTATATGAGTTATCTTTTTTTTTCTCATTAAGGACTCAGGTATACATTTGAATTGCAAAGTTTAAGGAGTTGCTGTGCCTTTGCTGAGCTGTGATAACTGACCATGTTCCACACGTAGATGACACAACATAGAACGGCCCTACATGTAGACTCAAACATCAGTGAAAGGGCTCCAGACAGTGAGCTTTACCTCACATATGTGAGGACAAATACACTAGTGCCTGGTACCTCCCTGACCTGCGGCAGCACCCAGTTGATCCTTCCCTAAACACTTTGCTCCCACTGGGTAGATCAAAAACACAAGCCTCTGCCTGTGATTTGTACTTTGTACTTTCATTGCCTGACACAAACTTGCACGAATTGTAAACCCACTGCAGTCATCCCTAATGGACTAGAGCAGGCTATTGCCACAGTCACAAAGAAGGTACCAAATTATGTAGCAGCCCTGTAACAAGAAAGGCAGTGGCAGACCACCATGCACCAAGCACAACGTAATATAACTTCAGATTAAGCAAGAGAAGGTCTCTCAAAATCAACAAAAACTATGGATGTTCACTTGACATCTGAGCATTCCTAAATTGGGATTAGCCAGTGCCCAGATCCCAGGCAAGTAGGTTTTACCTTAAGGGGATATTCTGGAACAGACATTTTCCCTTTTACCTTTGTCACCATCTTGTTCATTTGATATTTTCTTCAGGTCAATGAAGTGGGTGGCTAAGGCCACATCATTCATGCTGCCTTCATCCCAGACCTGGATTTTGACTCTTCGACAGAGTGGAGGGAACATTTCCTTGAAGATAATCTGTTCATGCCACACTGGATCTGCACAGTTCTTTTGCACTGTTGTCCGACCCTGAAATGATAGTCCAGTAAATTTAACCCCAGAGGGGTCAGACTGGAGAATGGTAATGAGTATAGCACAAATTGCACTTAGCAACATCTCTCCAGTCATTTTTAAAGCACAAATATCCTGTCTTGAAAGTACTTCTGCTTTTCTACTAGCTTGTTTATTTTCCTCTCCATATCTAATAAAAGACCACATTATGGCTAAAGAATTCTCACCTGCACACATCAGAGCCTGGAATAAGATCTAATTCTTCAGGGCCCTTACGCACAAAACGTATCTGTGAGGCCAGACTTTGGCATTTCTGCTACAAACTGCACATCTTCAAATGGCTTTTGAAATACCTAGGTAGTGGTAATGCAGTGCAGTTTGTCTCGTAAAAGATGAAATTCATTACAGCTGCCAGAGTGCATGTACCAATGGAATTACCTTAAATGAGGCAATTTATCTAGTATAAAATATGATTACTGTGGCTCGCATACTGGGCATATGCCTGTGTGCTAGGGATGTAGAGACTGGAGCTCTTCCTCCTAGCCTGGAGGAGTCGGCAGGACCATGCCACAGTCCGCGCAGCCGCAGGCTGTGGCAGCCCTTCTGCTTTCACATTTGGTGGGGAGAACTCAGTTAGGAAACCCACCAATGGTACCTCTACACCCATATTTTACACATCAGCCTGCAAACTCACATCAGTGACCCATTCTTATGTCTTCTTCAGCCCTCTATTAAACCTGAAGTAGCTGCATGCATTTGACTGTTTTAACCCATACTAGTCTGAGATGTAAGACTTTGCAATCTGGATTTGCAACACAACACAAAATCAGCACTAAGGGCCTCATTCTCATGCCTGAAACATCTGTAAAGGACTAACTGGAGATCTCCCTAAGGCTTTCTTGCACAGAGAAAGCATTGCTGGCTTAAAATAATTTCCAGTTTGATTCTTTCCTTATTTACACCAATAATCAAGACAAGCTCCCTCACATGGTGTTTCATGGGTGTACCCCAGAGGAACCAGGCCCCCAGACCTCCTCTGTGCTCCTCTTCCACCAAAGTCAGAAGGGCCCTCTCAGCAGCTCTATGTAGCAACTTGTTTGGTGTTTGAAGGAGCTCCAGGAGCAATGAAACCAGTCAACACTGAGACAGAGTCTACTCAAATACTTCCTCTTCTGCTACCCACAGAAAAGCTGCAAGGGTCCTGAATTACAGCAGAGTAATTCAGAAGTCAATACACAGCCCTAAAATCCAGACTGAACCATCTTTACTGATTTCAGCCCTGCTTCCTTTTTTCACTCTGGGGAGACCAGAACATAGCACTTACTTGCCTAATATGACCCTCGGTAATTCACTGTTCTGTAACTTGATGTTTTAGTAACAGATTACAGAATTCTCTTTCCCCTCCTGCTGCCTGACTCTAACCTACTGCTGTGAGGCTGATGTTGAATGCTGGCATTAAGTGCTTCCATCACTTTGTTCATGCGTAATTTAAGATCTGAAAATTTTCTTTCTGATGACAGAAATATGTCTTTTATTTAATTTACATAACTGTAAGATAAAGGACATCAGCATAATCACCTGCCTGTAGCACAGTTAATAGGAAAGAAGGCCTATATTTGTGATCAAGAGGATCCCAATTACCATTTGACCTGCAAACATGACCACCACATATGGATCCACAAGGTCCTTACTGTCGCCTATGAATGCTTTGGTGACATTGGCCATGATGCTAGAGTTCATCTTCGGAAGTCCTTCTGCTTTGTAAATTCTCACATAAAATCTGGCCCATGGTCTTTCAGATGGAAAGCCTTTGGGAATCAAGAGGTTCCTGAAAGAAAAAAGAAGCCATTTCCTTAAAATTGAAAACTCAGACAACAAAGTGATATTTTTTCCAACAAAATTGTCATCTTGAGTTATCTTACATCCTGAGAAGACACAAAAAGTCATATGAATTTGTTTCTGCATCTAAACCAAAATGTTTTCAGCTTACCATAAGAAAATGATACAGCACTACTCAGCAAACTTGCCTATGTGATATAGAACCAGGTCCAGTTATACCAGGTTGCTCAGGACCTTGTCCAGTAAATTCTGAATATATCAAAGGATGAAGAATCCCAACTGTCTCTAGGTCCTGTTACATTTGACCGCCTTCATTGTAATAAAAATTCTTGTATCTGTTCCAGAATTCCCTTGTTCTAACCTGCATCTAAAGCCTCTCATTGTTCTACTGTATTCCTCTGAAAAGAGTCTGGCTCTCCCCTCTTCATGTAGGATACCCCTTAATCTGCTCTTCTTAAGACTCAAGAAACCAACACCCTCATCCACAGACACACTCCTCCCCCCTGCCCCTTTTCCTGTAGACCATGTACTCCAGCCCTTCATCATCTTGGTGACTCTCCATGGATTTGGTCCAGTATGTCAGTATTGACCAGAAACATTGCTCCTGTAAAATTTAAAGTATGCTGGCAGCATACTTTACAACCTTTACCTTCTCTATTTTACAAGGAGAATGCTAATGCACTTGAGTTTATCTAAGGATATGGAAAATATCCATGCACACACATCTGATAGAGGAGAATGAACAGCTTTTCCTCATATTTTTTCTTCCTACTTCACTGTTTTTCAGAAGTATTTAACTGGTTTCAGATCAATGGACCTTCTGTCAGGGGTAATCTGGCACTTAGCCACAGGACATGGTCAACTCTATCAGCTGCAGAGAATTGACCCTAACATGCTCTTCAATTTAGTTGAGAGGATTGTAAAAACTCTCTGTGAGCACATCAGAACAGCCAGGTGTACAATGCTATCCTGCTGTTAACCCAGGTGTACAATGCTATACTTCTATTAACCCTGAGTTAGCAGGGAAAGGACTGAAAGGAGGGCAGAGGATTCTTGCGGTATATAGTAAAGAAGAAAGCAGAAAAAAACAAACTATTGCAGTACTTTTCAATCTGCTCCTCAGTATCAGCTGTTTTCTGCGTAGCTTGTATTGCATCACCTTTCCCAGTCACACTGATGTCACACTTCAGGTATCCCTTGGCTCCCGTCCTAATGTCAGCAGGGTCTGTGAGAAGTGCCCACTTGTCACAAAACTGATGACCTGTAAAGATGGACAGCTTAAACACACAAATAGAGGATGCAAAAATGCAAATATTTCTCCTCTCCACTCCCAGAAAGGGCACTACAAACAACATTTGGCTTTCAGGAGTATCATGCTGAAGTACACTTGTTTACCAGGCACATCTAGAGGGTCCAAAATGTTGTGTGAACAAAAAGGCAAGCAAGGATTGATCTAGAGTCGTCAGGAACAAACTCATTTTCATCAATGGTTACTGAGATCAGTGTCTCAAAAAGGTTAGGTGAGCTTTCAGGAGCTGAATTAAGACTGAGGCTTTATGAGGAAAGGCCAACTTTTTTATGAGAACTGTTTGAAAATCTCAGAACTTTCCAGCAAGGGCAGCAAAACCCTTGCTTGGAACTGTGGCCAGGTGTAACACTGGCAGCCAGCTGAGAAAAAACCTTACATTAAGTCTTTGGCCACCACCTTGGGTGTGGAAAAGAGTGGGAGGGAGAGACCAGAATGTACTAGGGATATGAGTTCAAGATCAACCCTCAGACACCACCATCCTGTAAAAGTGTGAACAGGAAATACAGGACAGAATTCAGAGACTAACGCAATCTGAGTACGGATGTAGACTTCTCGCTTCAATCAGACCATTTCTCTCTACTGACTCTTGCAGGAGCCCTGAAGAGAGGGTGGCCTGAATGACTCTATACTTCTGCTGTAACTGGGTGACATCTATAGTAAGTGGCCTAAATACGTTCATTCCCAAAGACTGAGAAGAGACCAGGTCCTTGTGCAGTAAAGGAAGAGACAAAGATACAAGCTTTCTGTATGACTGTAAAAACAGGCCAAAAAAAAGGGGAGGTGATCTTTTCTTAGCTTCAAATTTCAGAAAGCACTGGACAGCTCTGAAGATGGCAGGTCAAGTGGAATTTGGCATATTCCTTGGCATAAACCACAAGCATCTAAGTCGAAAAGCAGCACATCTCGCTCTCCTCTGCTTCCCTGCCTCACACCTCATTTAACAGATAAAAAGGGCAGAAAATGCACCACTTACCTGGCTGAGCATACACTGTCCCCAGATCTACTTTAAAGGAGCCTATCAGCACACTCCCGATCAGTTTATTGTGCATAACCTGTTAGAAGAAGACCAGTTAAAGAATGCCACTCTCTCTCTTCCCAGTCAGCATAAGAAAGAGCAATCCAAACAAAGATCACATTTGGTTCAGGGGTAATAAGCAGCGACATCCAGCATCACCCAAAACTGGGTGTACATAGCCATAGCAGATACAGTAAGCATTTGAAATTTGTTCTTTACCCAATATTGAGCCGATTTAGAAACCAACATATTTTCATCCAAGTGGAATCACACAGGTTCGTCCCAGGTCCCAGGATTATATAGAGTGGGAATCAGATGGATGTGTCTTCAGAGCAGACACTGTTATATTACTTATCCTGGCAATTTTAAATAAAATGTAATGACTATAAACACATGGGACATAGCTGGTTTCACACTAGACTGCAGAAATCATATAACTTCTGTGCAATATCTGAATTGCCATAAGAATTGAGTATACCCAGAAGAGAAAGAATTAAAGTGTTTCTTTACAACATTTCAATGTGCACATAAATCAAGAGACTCAATTCTGATTTACCCCCCACAATATTAATGAAAACAGAAAAGTGATAAAGATGTAAATGAGATGACAAGAAGGCCCCAGCGAGTCTGTCTCCGTATACTTCCTGCCAGGTAATTAATTTAATTTAATTTAATTTAATTTAATTTAATTTAATTTCATTTCATTTCATTTCATTTCATTTCATTTCATTTCATTTCATTTCATTCAAATTTATGTAATAATCTTCCTTTGTCATGATTCCTGGATCTATGTACTTCCATGTCTGGTTTTCAAATACATGCGTGTGCTTCACTTTACAGACAAGGCAGAGGCTAGTAACATCTTCTAGGGGAAGATTGATTCTAGAACTACATTTCTCAAAAAATGTATCTATCTCACCTGGTTTCAGAATAACTTAAAAGGTTGAAATCTATTCCTTGATTGTGGAAAATCTTCTGGCCTAACCGCAAAGAGAAACTAAGCTCATGGGATTCAAGTCCACAGAAGCTAAATCTAAATGTTGGAGCTAAACAACCAAGCCTCTGAGAGCATTTTAGGAATCTGGAAGGCTTTGGCTCTGGCTACATCTACTCTGGCTTTGGACCTACATATCCCAGATAGCGATACAAGACTACTGTGATTTTGAATTGAATTTGTCATGTGACTTCATTTTGTGCATTTTTCTTCAAGACCAGGATACATATGTTCCAAAGTGAAGATCATTGACACATTCATCAAAATGTGCCAACAAATTCAGGAGGTTTCTAGTTGCAACATAATGTCATTAACTCTATCCCAACTGAAACCAGGACACCCATTAAAGGCCTGGGGCCACGGTGCCCCTGTGTTTTAGGGAACACACTCAACTGTCCTTGGTAATTCCTCACTTCAACACAGAAAGAGTTTCTGGGGCTGAAAAATCAAGAGCAGACAAAGGATCAGTTTCATCTACTATTAAAGCTTAAAAATTAAGCAACCTTCATGTCGGAGAGGAACCAGTGTGAATCACTTCCCTACTCCTGCTGGCCACACTATTGCTGATACAGGCCAGGACGCTGTTGGTCTTCTTGGCCACCTGGGCACACTGCCGGCCCATGTTCAGCCGGCTGTCAACCAGCACTCCCAGGTCCTTTTCCGCTGGGGCGCTCTCCAGCCACTCGTCACCAAGCCTGTAG